TCTGCGCCCTTCTGGGGGCGGCAAACACAACACAGCCAAGCCAGGCTGCTTGTCAGCACAGACAGCGGGCACAGCCGCGCTCGGCGCCGTGCTGTTCGCTGCTGGCACCGCCAGCAGTTCCTGTTTGTCACTTGTCGCTAATTAGCCATTGCTCACCGCGCAGTTTGCATCACGAAGCTGGTGCGTATTTACCGTCGGTCATTCACGAGCGCGGATTTCTGCGCCCCGTCAGCAACGCTTCGCCTTGGGGGTTGCCCGTTTTTAAAGCATCCGCTGTCCTGAAAGGTAACAGAACGGAGAGCGAGCCGAGGGAGCGCCCTGCCAAGCGCAGGGTCAGCCTGGGCAGCCGCGGGCAGGCTCGGAAGCGCAGGCCTGGGGGAACACCAAGTCGGTTTGCAGCCAGGGTTGCTAGTAAATGGAGGAAAAACAAGAGGAAAACAGACAACAAACGATCGCTGGAAAAAAAATAGAGTCAGCCGTAATTCTGACAGTTCTTCAGAAGGAAACTGCTCCCGGCTCTTCTATTTACATCTATGCAAATTTTCTGTAATTCAGTACTGAGGCTTGCACAATAATACAAGGAGCCTGGGCTTTTGCTAAGCTGCAGAATCGGTTTTGTATCGCATCTTGAATGCCACCACGCTAGTGCGTTTAAACAGCAGGATGTTAGAGGACTAGATAGGGTTCCTCCATTTCTCAAGCCTGTGGTTGCATGAAGAGCAGGTATTTGCTGAGATTCCTGATAGATAACTGCACTGCAAAGCCGTGCATGCCTTCAGCTACTCCTAGTGTATTTTAAGAAACATATGAAACTCTTGTGCTGGATGACTCATAGCATAGCAGTCCCATTAATGCATTTAAACACAAAATGCATATGCCAAAAAGGGATATCCCAGGGGTTGCATTTTCCTTTTTTTTTTTTTTTGTTTCAGAAATGTGATTCTATTAATGTCTGCAGATTGCTTCTGAGCAATTCACCTCAACTCTCAAAGCATGCTCTTTCATTTTGTCCCTTTCATAGATAAAACATGCCTGATTATCCATCAGACTTTTGTTTTATTTTTCCCTTCCTGGACTTTTTACAATTTGGATACCATTGCAGGTTTAATTTAGTTGGTAGGATTTTGCATAAATAGGCTGCATGCTACATCTGAGATAGCGTACTGGGGGCGGGGGATGAGAAGGGGGTCAGTGCTTTTTAGGGGCAGGGTAATAGTCTAGGCACTTCACCAAAATAACAGTGGAGCTACAAAGCCTTACTCACCAGCGTTATTAGCATATAACACCATTCACCATACTTGTCCTTCAGACTCGTGTGGTGATTTCGTATGCGCAGGAAGTGAAGACGTTAAAGTAAACACCAACTGGTGAACCTGCAGTATGTACGTGCCTTTGGTCCTGGCCCTCCAAATGGTCCCTCTCTTCCCGTTCATAGGCCAGCACAAAGTATCTGTGAGCTCAGATACGTCTTAAGGAGCAGACTGTGCTGAGAAACCACTTGCAGAAATCACAAGTCTTGTCCCTCACCTCCTCGGCCTCTGGCCCCACTGGAGGGCTCCTGGTGCCCGTCCGGCCACGGCCAGCCCAGGAGTCCTCGGCGCGCCCGACCCGGCCCCGCGCCGCCAGCCCCTGCACCCACGCTGCC